TATATATATATATATATATATATATATATATATATATATATGGTTAAAATATATTTTAACTAAAAATTTTTCAACATAAATAGTTTAGTATTTTTTTACTTTTTTTGCAGAAAGTAATGAACCGTTTCGAATAGTGCAATAAAAATTATTATAATTTCCTTAAGAAATTGTTCTTTATATGATCTCTATAACAAAATTAATCATACGAAATTTATGTTCTCTGAAACTATTTAACTTTTGTTTGAAATATTTTTTTCGTTAACAATTTGGCAGATATTCGAGTAAATCTATTTAAATGGGACACCCTATATATTACGTATATTATAATGACCGCCATTTTTTTTTTTTTGAAGTTATATATATTGCCATTCTTTGAAATATTTAGTTCGCTTATAATTACTAATTTAGTCGTACAATTTAGTAGTATCTTTTCAGATATAATTACCTTGTAATACCTTTTTAATAGCTTTTTCAATAGTATTATGAGAATGTTAAATTCTTGAGCTTTGTTCTTGATATAGATTATACAATGAAACGGGGAAAGATAGTAATGAAATGCTTTTGAGAATTAATGATAAAAAGATTTTAATGTAGGAAAGAGTTAAAAAAGAGATTTTAAGACACAACTCCAATAATAAGTAAAGATATGTAACGTAGGGTATCTTTAGAGCTAACATAACTTGTTAAATGAAATCTACCTGTAGGAAGGAAAGGAAGAGAAAAAAAAAGAGAGAGAAAGAAAGAAAATGAAGTTTCCAATAATAGTAAATGTAATACATAAATGAATCTACGTTATTATTTCGATTGTAAAAACGTATTTTTCTGTTCTTTAACTGTTCCCTCTGTCTGGAAAAATATTTTGATGTATAAAATAAATAGAATAAATATACAATATACATTCTACAACACATTCGACCAAATAGAAAGGTTTTATCTTTCTTGTACGAATCAGAATATTTTTATATCGGGCTGGATTGATATCAGCTTTTGGCAACCAGTGGTGAAATAACACGCTACTTCTTTACACGGAATCATATTAATACTTCCGACACTTCCACAATTTTTTCCATGTAGAAATATTATTTTCTCTTGATTTCAGATCGACCCTTTTTTGTACCGGTTATTTTTGCTTTAACGCTTGCGACTTATTACGTTGTAAAGAATTAGAGAAAAATTTATCATGTGATTTAAAGAATTTAGAGAAAATGATTTTAATACCATAATTCGAAAAATATATACTAAAATATTCATAAAATATTTGTTTCTTAATATGTAATATTAATAATTTAACATTTAATATGCATATCTCTTTTTTACACTATAAGAAAATGTTTGTTAAAACTTAATATTCCATTATACATCTCTCTTTTGGCACAGTTTTTTTTTCTACACGATATTTTTGTTGTGTACACGATTCATTTTTACACGATTTTCTTTAATATCATTTTATTTATTTTTACATAGATTTTTAACATGTTTTTTTATTTTTATCTGATTTTTTTTTTAATACGTTTATTTTAATAAAGTTGCGAAAGCAAACTAATTAGTTCGCAAGAAATATTCTGAAAATCTTTGCGCATCCTGTATGAATATTTCAAATTCATATTTTCTTCAATATACTGAATAATACAGTTGCGTTTATTTTTTAATTCTCCTAAAACATGTATAATAAGTATATTTGGATCTCTTTTTATTCGATATTTTTTACACAATTCCCAGTCATATAAATAAAATGTTTTCACTCAATGCATTTCTATATTTTAAATTGCTTTTTGCATAGTTTGCTTTGATATAAAACAAATTTTATATTTTATTGCGAGTCAATTGTTATGTAATTTTTTTATACATTATACATCGCGTGACTCAAGTAATCAGTACTTAATCGTTCATATTTTTTGTATATATATTTACATATTTTTGGTAAATAAATTAATATTCGGTATTTAATTAATTCAGTTTAATAATTATTAATATCAATAGAAATTATCTAATATCATAAGGATTATTTCATAGATATAAATATAAATACAAATTTTTAATGGTTATTAATATTATGTGTGATATATAACTCTTATCATGAAATTCAAAAAAAAAAAATATTTGAAAATAAAAAAATAAGTAGTTTTAAAAAAAAATTGTATATTCGTAACAATTTTGACGATATAATAATGAAGATCGTGTAATAAAAAAGAATTGAAATAAGAATCGATCTTGGTGTGCCATTTTAGAGCGCACATCTCTAAAAATTCTTACACTCTATACGATATATCTATATGATATAATTTTCATTCTTTTTCGTGATCAGTGCAATATTTCAAATTTTTTTATATCTTTCTTAATGTTCTTTTTTTAATAATATAGAAGAAAATCAACAGTTAATATCTTTTTTTCTACAAATTTAATAATTTATTGATTTTACATGTAAAATGAATAAAAAAAAAATGAAGAAACAGAAACAGAAAATTTCTGATATTTTGTTATTTAAGAATAGAAAGATTTCTTATGTATTTTTTGTGTGTTGAATCTAACCATTTATAAAAATATTCCAAAGAAAGTAAATTCTTTTTTCAATACTTTTATTAATCGTATCATATAATATTATTTCTTTCTTTGAAATAGTTTCGTAAATATAGTAAAAATGAATAAAATACTTTTTATTTATTTATCTTCTAAATTTAACACAATAAGCAATTTTTAAATTTTGATTCAGCATAGAAAAATATGTAGAAAATTTTCAAAGAAGAAAATTTCAAAAAAGACACTTTTTTTTTTAATATCTATTTTACCATTTTTTTAATATAAAATTTAAAAAAAAATAACTGCAATTAATCTTCTACAATATTAAAAATCTATCTATATATAAAATTTAAACATTTACATTATATTAATCTTAAAAATTACAGCGTATCTTATTTTATTCGGCAATATATGTGATTTTGGTGATCACTCTTTTGTGATATAAAATGATAGATTTACAAGCAATTGTGTGTTATATGTTTTACATTTATGAAATAAAAAATAGAATGTAAAATCACTATCTTTGGATTATATAGCAAAGTAATCACTACAGAAAATTATATTCAAAAAAAGAATTATGTATGTTAAACAGAAAACAATTATATGAATTATGTTCTAGTTGTCAGAACAAAAAAACACATGGATTTCAATCTTTCGAATAATTAGTTACTATTATTCGAGAACATATAAGAAAATGTGAAGCTTCGAACATTAAATGTTCGATCATTATTATATGTATATTAAGGTGCTTTAAGGAAAGAAAGCGTAGCTCGAGATCGTAAATTTCACTGTATTTACAAACTAATAGGATAACAGAATCATTTGCTATCGACCTGAATATTGTTAAATGATGATACATACAAGATGTTTTATCTTTTTGATCAAAGCACGAATCAAATCATCAAGAAACATGTAATACTTCATCTCTAGACTGCAGATGTTTACGCAAAATACAAATTTTGTGAGAAAAAAGTAGTGTTTACATAGACATGTACTATATTCTTCAAATATTATAATATACATAATATACTTTTCTATATACATTCTGCAGATTTTTGTAAATTTAAATTTTGCACAAAGATCCACAATCTACTCATCACTTATGACCATCTTAAAATATCATCTTTACTAACACTAAACGATTTTCATATTAATGCTTTTACTCAATCGATTAGAAGAGATAGTGAATTAAAGATAATCCATATTATTATTACATTCACGAAATTATTTTATCGACCAATATATTCGAACAAATAAGGTTTAACTCAATATGCATCAAATAATAAACGCGGAAGAAATAGAAAATCACGACGATATTAAGATTTTCGAAATACAAATTAACCTTTGTATTTGACAATGTATCATAAGAGAATCGATGGTAAAGTAATTCGTTTAAAGGTAAATCATGTTTGACTCACCGATGAACTGTCCCTCAAACTGGAAGTCTTCTTGTCTGTCTAGTACCATCGATAACAAGGACGACGAGGATGTCGAGGGCAGTGGGGCCCACTGCTAATGAACCCAAGAGGGGGGTGCGGCAGGAGTGGCCGCGTTGGTGCTCACGTAAACACCTGCGGTCGCGTTTCCGGTCGTCGTCGTGCCTATCACGTTGTTCTGCGAAACGGCGCCGTTCTGACCGACGTTATTGTCGCTTACTTGGATCGCAGCCGTACCCATTACACTCTGTTGGAAGTTGAAATCTAACGTACCATCCATCGACAACTCGTGTTTGATCACCTGAAATTATGTTTTTTGCTCTGAATCACTGGTGAATATTTGTGTGGCTTTGTTATGCTCGACGAAGTGATACATAACAAAATTGACGCTAGTCCAATTTCAATTATAAAACCCGTAAATTTATGATTTCAGTAGAGGCGATTCTCTCTAAATAAATACGAATACGATATGGTTCCTTATATTTGTAAATAGAAAGACAAATTGTTATTAAAGGAACGATTATTTTTTCTTGTAATATTCATTTCTTTTGACTGCTAGATCATAAGTTTTTCTTTTTAATAAGTATATAAATAATTATTAAATTCTTTTTATAATTTTTATAATGATATTCTGATAGTAAAATTTTTATAATGATCACTTGAAAATGTTTCTTTATAAATATTCAATTAGATACTATGGATACTGATGAATTTTTAATTTTTAATTATTTCTAACTATTATTATTCAATTTTTGTATTAATTTTAATTCGAGTATATATAACTTTTTTGATTTTTTTAAGCATCTTCTATTGAAATTTTTACTGTATCGTATATCTATTGTACGTTAGTATTTATAAAATTTTATTAAAAAATAAAAATAAAAAAGCAACGTCATATATTTTCATAATTTCCGAACTTTTTAATTATTTCATATATTTTTTTCAAAAATTAAAATTATACTTTTTTTATTACTATTTTGCAATGTGATAATAAGTCACAATCAAGATTCGTTTGGCTAAAACGCAAAAAATATTATAGACATATACAATAATAGTTTTAATTTATAAATGCAAATTACTTTTAAATTATGTATTTATAAAAAAATAGTTCAGATAAGAAGTGAATAATTATTATATTTATTCATATATTAGTATAAGTTATACAAACAAATATGTAGAGAAAAATGTATGGAGAAGATATATGTTGTTTTAAATGAAATTGTATAATTTTCAATACGTTAATGCGATTCGTTATTCTATACAAAATTGTATCATAAGCTATTCGTATCGAAAAATCACTAATTTAGAAAATATTGTAAATTGAAGTTTGTAAAGCTTACTGTATGAAAGACAAGAAGAACATGTTCCTTGATCTTCATAATGAAAGTTTTGTAAAAATTCTTATAAAACCATTTCTTATATAAACTATTTGTTTATACAATCCATAGTTTATGAATAATTTGTAGTTTAAAATCAGATATTAAAGTAGATAATCAAATATTAGGAGTTTGGAAAAATTTAGTACAACAGTTATAACAATTTATATAATAGTATTCTTTTGAATAAAATTCAAATGCCAGAATATTTTTCTATCTGGAAAAAGATTTATAAATTTATGAGTGATTCTTCTATGATACGTTTAATTATTCTAAATGTATTAAAACAAAAATATAAAAAGAACAGAACGTACCTCTTCTACGTTACAATCAAATCCACCGTGCAGCGATTCGATGTTAATATTTAAATCATCAAGGAGCGTTGAATTGTTCAGGGCTCCCATCAATTGGCCCATCATAGTGCTTGGTGTGGGATCACATGGTGTAGATGTTTGTGATGAACTGGAGTCTGTTACTCCCGTTTGTGATTGCTGTTGTCGTTGCGGTAGTTGTTGTTGCTGACATTGTTGCGTCTGCATCATGTATTGAAGAGTTTGCTGCTGATTACTTCCTAACGTTGTGGGGCTTGGTTCACTTTGCTGGTATGATGGCGACATTCCAGCCACTGGACTCAAATTCTAATAATTTTTAAGGATACAATGATTGATGTAAAACAATTGAAAAATAAACTTAAATTATTGATCGATATAGATGATCAGAACGAGAAGGAAAATTTAATTGCAAAAAAAAACAATATTTTTTTAATTATTTTTTACTTCATTAAATTGAGAATATTAAATTTGCATTTCTCATGGATAAAAGAGATTGCAATTAAATAATTAGGTTTTAATGTAATCAATATTTATTCCAAAATTTCAGATAAAAGTTAAGAATTAAATATCTATAGAAATGATCATTTTGTAAAATAAACTGTTTCTTATCACGAGAGAGATTCATTTTCGCAATATTTTTAAATAAACCTTATGATCGCAATAATTCTTTCAGCGAGATCGAATTAAATCGAATTGTTTGAGGAAAATCACGGTATTACGAGGTATAAATAATGATATTCAATTGATCTCAAAAATTTAAAAAAAAAATATTAAAAGTTTAATTTTTTCGAGAATACTATCATACATTAGTTTCTATGATGCCGTGTCATCGTATAATCTATATAAGTACTTGATTATTTCATTATAGATATAAGTTACAATGTAATTCTTTGAAAGAAGATAAGAAAGAAGATCTCTAAACATAAATTTAAATAATCAAGCAAACGTAACGTAATTACCAAACATATTTTCAAAATCTCTAATTTATGATCGAAAGAATTTATTTTTTATTTCAGAATAGAACAAAAGAATAAGTTAAGTTATTGCTAAAATTGCTCAATTACGAATGATTTCATTTCTATTGAATGTTCATCATTCAATTCTATATAAAAAATTTTATATTAATTAATAGAATAATTAATTGCATAAAGACAAATAAAATAATCTAATGGAAACTTTTGACTGCAAACTAGAATATTTACAATTACTAATTGGCAAAATTCGATCAAAAATAATTTTTTTTTAAGAAAGAAATTTTAAAGAGCGAAGTTCAAGTAATCTAAAGAATTAACCCTCACTATTCAATTAAGACGAACAGTAGGAGGATAACTAAATATAAAACTCTCGTATCCGCAGAGAATTGGTTCTAATTGGATCTTTCGCACACCAATATCAGATAATAGCATTATTTACTATTGCTATATATATATATATATATATTTATATTTATATTATATTACATGCTGTATTATTATGATAATATTTTATTTTTTTTATATGACGTTTTAATTATATCATTATAGTTTTATTATAAATATTATCAAATTCTCATGATTATGAAAAGTTACTATAGACAGATTACATATTAGAAATTTTTGCGGATATTGAATTCACATATGAGAATTCGTAGAAAAGATAATATCGAAAACTATCTGAAATTATTTAATTAATTAATTATTTTTTTAAACTTTATATTATACTTCATAACTTTTTTATTGATCATCAACATCTTATACGAATTGTATAAAAAAACCATCTTGTTGAAAGTTAATTTAAATTATCTAAAAATAACTTATTTAATAATAAAAATACGCAATTCGATGCAACATCTTCATAATAATATTACAGAGTAGATTTATCGATATATTAAATTCATTAATCAATATATCATATGATAATAATTATAATCTCAACTTTAATTATTAAATAATGAACTGTAGTTATTTATAAATAATCATTTTAATCTTAAAAATCAAAAAATTAAATTATTTCAAAATTAAGTAGGATTAATAAAAATCAATAAAAAAGTAATAAAATTTCGACTGTTAATTGAACATTAATACAATATATTAGACAAATAATAAAGAAAATTAATTAAAAATATCGAATAAAATTATTTAAATTATCAAATAAAAATAAGCTCGAAGATTACTTAATTTCTAAATTCCAATATGGCTTTCGTCATTTGAGATTTCTCTTTACGTACTTATCTATCTAATCGGCTCTGAAACTGACATATGCGATCCTTTGATTAATTATTTAACACATACTACATATCTAACATGCTTTAATATAGAAAAGATCTATGATTTGATAATTCTAAAAATATGGATTCAATGGCAATAAAAATCATTCAAGCTGAATTTAATTCCCTTTTTTTTTTTTAAATTATAATAGAAAATACCTCAAGATTTAGTGCTAAATGTGATTTTATCTTTTATAATTATATATGACTAACATCGAACTTAATCAAAGATTTTCTTTTTACTGACAATTTAATAATATCATGTAGACGAAAAACTCATTGTTATTCAAACATTACTGCAAAACATGCTAAACAATTTGCACATATATTTCTAAACATAACACAAAAGTATATGTCTTCATTCTGAGAATCATTATATGTGATACTAATAAATGAATACAATACAAGCTATATTCTTATAGATAATAATTCAAATTGAAAGATAATTTAAAGGTAATATTTAAGCTATTCGACAAAGAATGACTCGTTATATACTTATATATATTGTTTGTAACTATATGTAATCTAAATACATAATTAATAATAAATAATTAAATAATAAAATAATAAAAATAGAAAAAATAAAAGAATAATTACTTTTTTGTTTGAATTTTATAATAAAAATTATTTTATTTTTAATATGATAAATTTTACGTTTCATACGACTCGAACATAATTAAAAAATATTTTAAATAATATTCTATATCAATATAAAGAAAATGAAATGAAAAATTCGAATGTTTAAATCTTTTGAATACAAAAATTAATTAAAATAGAAGAACGATATTTCAAATGATGTTCGGAATCACATATTTAATTTCTGAGATAATTTATAACATATAACTTGTTGAATTTTTTTTAAAGTCGCATTTTTCGATTTAATGAGTATGTAGAAAAGGATTAAGAGGTCGAGAAAAAATATAATATAATATGTAGGTCTCCAACAATAGAGTTGAAGAATATAATCTAACATAATTTTCCTCGAAATACAAACTATGTCATTTCAAAATAATTACGTAATGAATTATGCGATCGTATTCAATATTTGTCAAATCCAAACAAGAAGAACAAAACAATATAAATAGCAAATTCATTTTCAATTTGTCTTGAAAATATAATAAAATCTATTCCATTTTTCGATATTTCTATTCTAAAAATATATCAAAAAAGGATTTAAAATAGAAATGAATTTTTAGATTTACGAAACTTCAAAATTTTGAAAAGTGAACTACTGTCGAAACTTCAGAATATTTTCCTTTTTTCTTTTTCAAAAAATATATATTTTGGTGAAGAATTAAAATTTTTTAAATTTTTTAAACTCAATTTATAATCAATCAATAGTTTTAATTATTAGATAGAAATTTAATTTCTATGCAAGCTATCTTTATATTTATCTTGATTTCAAGAGTTTCAAATTATAAAAGCAACAAAAAATTTTGTGATTCGAAATTATTTGAATTTTGAAGAATTTCGAGATTTTATAACTCACTCCTAATCCAAATAAAAAACAATACTCTCGAAAACTATGTCCTAAAAATCTTACAAAAAAAAAGTTGCACTATATACATTCAAGAATGTCGAAAAAACTATACAAAAAATTCCGAGAAAACAAAAATTTATGTTCTTCATTCTCTTTGTTGACAAAAAATTTTTATCCAAATCTGTTATCTTTTCATAAACTGTTAAAACTAAGCTTTTTCTTACTTATTCCTAAGTTTTGTTTTCGTTCCTTTTCAGTCGAATGTTATATCGAAATATTATAGTCGAGTAGCTTGTCCTTTAAATGTTCTTCCACTCACCATTTGACAGGCACACGGCTGCAAACCGTGAATTGGGCATCTTTGTTGATTAGCTGATTGAGGAGTTGGCTGCAGAGCGAAGGAGGACGATCCTGACGATAGACTATTGCTCCTCTGATATTGGGATTCGTAATAAGAAGGTGGTGGTCCTGTGTGATGCTGGTGGCTCGGTTGTGTCGTATGATACATTTGATAGGATTCCAATTTCATCGTTTCTGCGAGGCTACCAGCTACAGTTGTATTCAACGAAAAGAAGATATGTTAACTAAATGTCTTTTATTGTTTTTTATTTGTGCGTACGTTTCATGCTGCGCCTTTTTAGCTTTGATTCGAAGCAACACTGGAAGTTTTAATAACCTTTGATCGTTTGAAAATATTTTTCTATGATTTAAATAAAATATAATTATTTTTGATAAAAATTCGTAAATCTGATTCTTGATAAAATTATCGATGAATGTTCATAAAATTTGTTAAATATATTTATTCTTCTTTTTATTGGAATTTATGTCATAATTTATTATTTATATTTTTGTGTTTTATTCTGAAAAAAATATCCATTGCGAAGCTATGATAAAATAATTATTCAAATAGAAATTAAATTTTTCGAATTCGAAACCAGTTACATAATTTGAATACTTTATAACTAAAAAAAAAAAAAAAAAATAATCAGATTTTATGAATACAATTGAATTTCATTATAAAAAATTTTGTTATATTGAATTTTACTTATTGTTAGATTTATATTATATTTGATTACTTATTAATAATTTTACCACATCTTTTTAGCGTATTAATGTAATAGTATAGGTACTTACTTAAGGTAAATACTTAAGTCAAATGGTAACAAAATTTTTAAAAAATCTAAATGTTACAGTATAAAATTGATTATTTAATAATTTTAAGCAATCTAAACTTGAAGCAATTGAATTTGAAACTTTTATATAATAATAAAAAAAGCATAATTTACTAGAATTATAATTGAAATATCGGAATTTTCTTTGTAATTGTCTCTAAGAAGATAGAGCTTAGCCGTTCGCTTCGTGTAGCTTAAACTTTTGAAATTTCAGAATCAGTCATGCGCATATATTAAGAATGCGACGAAATAGAGAAAGTAAAAAAAAAAAAAAAAAAAAAAGAAAAAGAAAAAAAAATATGTTACAAAATAAACAATAAACGCTGGTGAAAGAAAAAGAAAGACATACATGAAATCATAGTGCGTACCTAATTGTTCTGGACTATATGAGAGTGTGTATGTTGGTGTCCATTCCGGTTTCCTAGGAATCGCCGTGATTGGACTTAATCGACCACAGGATGAGGCATTGCTCGAAGCTCGAGGACTCGAATAAAAATTGGTTCAAATGTATTTTAAATGTGCAGATATTTAAATACAAACTATGTATACGAAAGAGATAATGGTAAAAGATAGAAAAATAGTGGCTATGAATTATAGGAAAAATCTGTACAAGTTATATGCAAATGTCAAAAATGTTAGCTCAAGTGAAAAGCTTAATATGGAATATTCACAAGGAAGAAGTTATGAAGAAAAAAAAATGTTTTTAAAAAAATTAATACAAAATTTAATATTGGAAAAGATACACTATGTAATATGTAATTATGTAATATCCTTCTTTATATGATTTATATGATTTATACACGAATATACACTTTGTTGAACATGAAATTAAAAGAGATTATTACAGACATTGCACAATTGGAACCAATTTCTGAGAGCTGACTATAATCAGCGTTATCTACAACTAATTAAGTGAAATGCTATAATCGTATCCACAAGTCACTGTATGGATGCTGTTTGAAGGTAAATTAGAAATAAAAGATTAAAGTAGTTTTTCTGTACATGAATATGTAGAAGTCATATAAAAATGATCTTTACCTTTTTAAAATCATATAATTTTTAATGTGCTAATAGATGTTGTTAGTCATTTTCTAAGAAAAAGTATTTATAAACTATTTATATCAAAAAATTATTAGTTTAGAAGATACAGTAAAGCTTTTATATCCATACTAACAGGAATATAAATTTTTCAGATAAGGAAATAGATTAAATTAATCTAAGATTATTCCAATTGATATTAGACAAATTATTTTTTGATATTAAATCATCATCATCATCATTATTTTTGATATTAAAATAATTTTATTTTAATTTATTTTATTTTATTAATTTAATAAAATATTATCAATATTGTCATATTGTTTCTACGTTTTAGAAAATTCTATATTTGCTTAGATATTAAATCATACAAGTTTTTCAATATAATATAAATAAGTAATAAATAATTCTTGAATTAAAAATTTCTACATCAATATTCTTATTAAAAATGTTTCTTTATAAATTCTTTTTTTTTTTTTTTGGTTATTTTGAATTTTGTTAATCATTGTACCATTTCTAGTTATTATTTTCTTAAATATTTAATATTTGTCATTAATCTTTCATTTAATTTTAAAATTTCTTTCATTAATTCTAGCATTTGAGAAATTTTTATTTATATGCTACACGTTATAACAAAATATTATATTTATTAAAAAATAAGAGGAATATTGATGCAATATTTGATATATAAATAACATAGACATATAACAAGTATTTGTTGTTTCAAGATTGTACTGTTATTAGAATAGAATTTGGATATGAGGCTTTACTATATTATATATTAATTTAAAATCTTTTAAACTTGATGCATGTAGAACAAAAAGCATGCAAAGCAATTAAATAATTTATATTATTTCTTCATCTTCCATATTAAGTTTTTTTAAATTACAGTACAAGTTAAATGTTTTCTAAGCTAATGAGATTTTTTTTTTTATATAAATAACTTGCAGGAAATAATGAGTTACATCCATTAGTGTATTAAAATAATTGTGTATGTCGTATATCGTATGATGATCTATTAATATCGTATAATACATTTCTTTTTATCAAATAACTTTTATAAAAATAAACTTCAATCTCTTGTGAAATGTTCCACTTTTTTTTTAATTAAACGTAAGATATTGTAGATTTTGAACCTATTGAACCTTTTTATTTATGAAAAATTGTATAATCGTAATAGACATAAAATAACAAAAATATGATTGAAAAGTTGAAATATAATATTTTAATTAACAATGTCATGAAGACATTTTATAAATAAAATAAATTCAATAATTGACAGAAGTGTATATATTTTTTATGACAAATATCACTGTCGAGAAATATCTCAATATAATAAACGGAAAATAATTTTTTTTAAACGATTACCGAATTTTTTGCATTAGTTATATTTTTGTACAGGTTTCTTCTATATTCTAAATGTACATTCTATGATGTATATATTCTGCAAGACTATTATTAAATGCAAGTAGAAGCACGTCATGCGTACGATTAGGTATATAGTACAAAAGCGTATATATAAAATTTTTGCAAATAGCGCGTATCGAAGCTATTACTTTTACTACCTATTATAATAAAAGAAATGTACATTTAATATCCGTGAATTTAAAATAATTTTATAAAAATTTTTCTCATAGTAACGAACAATTATGATTTTAAAGATCACAGAATGTATTTATCTCTATAGTATTATATTATGCTATTATACTATGCTAAATTTAAATATAGGTATCTTATATATAAAGGTGTAATTAAAAGTGTGTCTAATAAAATGGCGTTAACCTTTCAAATGAATCAATTTTGATACGATTATGTAAATGTTAATTTAAATTTGAAAACATAATTAAGAAATAATTTTTAATATCAATTTTGATAATAATTCTGTATTCAATCATATATATATATATATATATATATATATATACTTTTTAATTGGATTAATTTTTAAATTTATTATTTTTTTTTATATAATATTACAATGTACATTGGAAGAATTATTTAAGATTAATTTAAATTACTTGCAAAATTAAAAATTAATGTATTTTCTTTTTCCACATTCGATAAAATTTATTTTATTATTTTTAAATGAAGATATTATGACAATAGATAATATTATAGCTCTATCATTTTAAAATGAATAACTAAAAAAAAAAAAAAAAAAAAAAAAAAAAAAATATTCAAGTTGACCTAAATAATTATCGTTAAATGACTATAATTATATTGTTTCAAGGTAATTTGCATAATAATCAAGTATAATATAATATTAGGGTTTGGTCAGAATATCGAAACCTTGAAACATTTCGAAATTTAAAACATTTTTTTAAAAATTTTTTTTTTTAAATTTAATAGGAAATATTTTTCTGTTTTTATGATTTGAAGCTTTTGAAAATCAAAAACAATTGAATTTGAAAGAAATAAATAGTTATAAAGATAGTTAAAAAAATACTATTACTAATTGGCTAATTATGAGTTTATAAGTTTAAAAAATTTTAGAAATTAAGTTTATTAAAAAATTTTAATTCTTGATAAAACATATACTTTGAAAAAAAATATTCAGGGTTCCGAGACATTCGAATTTTAGATTCAAATTTTCTGAATGTAAAAATTATATCTCGTCTCTATATTATAACATGTATTTGTTATATAAAATAATATTTTATAAATAAACATAGCACGTATTTCATGCGAATGTATTTACTTTTAATAAATTTTTGATTGAATTGATTTTGACGGAAATAGGTAGATAATTAAAAATAGAACGAATCGTGAAATAACAATTCTTTTTTTTTTCAAAATAACCGCACAATATAATATTATAAAATTAATAAATGCAGTTTTATAATAAAAAAGAAAAAGAAATGCTAATAAGAATTATAATCGTTTTAAAAATTGAACAATAAATAAAATATCTTATTACACGATAAAAAATTTACTTCGTTGAACGGCAATACAATTCGTTTAATTCGAATAAGCAATTTTATTTTAAATTTTATAAATTGATTTTGCACAGTTATACGTACACACATATCTTGAAACAATTTTAAAATATATTGTTAATCAAATACACAAATTTCGCTAAAAAAGAAAATTGTTTCATATATAAACCATTATATTCTGCATAATTATAAAATTTCGTTAAAAAAAAAAAAGAAATATTTATTTTTTAATTTTTTAAACAAATTCTTTATTTTTAATGAAATTTTATGAGTAATAAAGCATAAATAATAATAAGTTATATATAGACTAATTTTTTTCTGACCGAATATTATTTTCAACAGGTGAAATCAATATATTTTTCGTTTTTTAAATGTTTTAAATAACTTTTTAATGGTGTAAGATATAATAAAATTTTAATATTATTTAATATTAAATAAATATTTAATATTAAATATTAAATATAATTAGATAAATTAAATATAAAATTTAATAATTTCATTCAAATTTTATTATTATTGTAAAAAAAAATTATAACGCAAAATATAAAAATATATTGAAACTTCAAGAGTTGATTTCACCTTTTAAGGAAATTTTTAATCGACAAAAACATTGCTCCATCTATTACGTTCTAACATAAACTTTCATTCAAATAAAAATTTTCGGGTTAAATGATTTCTCTCTAAAATATTGTTCAAATACTTTTTGTGATATTATACTTTGAAATAATATTGGTAAAATTTAAATATATAAAATTTTCATATTCCTTTTGATTATCAGTTTTTTAATAATTCTGTGATAATTTAAATTATAAATACAATTTTAAATTAATAATTTATGAAATGTTTATATAATTATCTTTCGTCTGTACATAATATATATATATATATACATATTAAAATCAAATCAAAATTCACAATGACAAATCTTAAACGAAATGATTTTCTAAATTCGTATTATCGTATTCAATTGAAAGGTTAACAAATTACTACTTGGCTAGAAAAAATACGGTAATTAAAATTTTTATTATTATTATTTTATAAAATAAAATAGTAATTAATGTTAATTATTTTGAAAATATAATTATAATATAACAGAGAAGATTAAAAAATAAATGAAGAATAATAAAAAACAGACTAACAAAATTCAGAAATAAAGAAATTTATTTTATTTTTGTTAAATATAAGATACTTATTGTAGAACTACGATGAAATTTCCATAAAAACGATCTCTCTCTTTTTCTCTCTCTTTTTCTTTCTCTCTATTAAATTTATTTATTAAAAAAAAGTAAATTTATAATATTAATAATTTTTACTATTACATTTAATAAAATAATCTATGAATTTGTTGGAAAAATTATATTATCATTTATTTATTACTAGCGATAGGATTCTTTATAAATTTTTCATCATGTTTAGATGAAGGAAACTTATTTCATAAGCTGCAAATTTTTTTATTTAAAATATATAAACTCAAAATCTTGTATCTTTTTCATCTCTATAGTATTATGTATTGTAGTATTTTATTGTTCTTATACAAATTTTATTTGTATATATTATTTTGATATATTTCTTTTAAATTATTATATCTTATCCATAATAAAAAATAAAATAAATTTCTTTAGTTTACACAATATTAATTTTTTAGTTAATTTATTATTCTTTATTCCTATTTTTCCATTAATTATATTACAAAGTTGATATTTTAGAAAATATCTTACAGAAATTTCATCCGTTACATTTACAGTAATTTTTTTAATTTTCGTATTTTTTTTATTCAACGTCAGATATTCAAGTAAAAAAAAAAAAATCAGTCATCAAGATTTTCGGTATAAATTCAAAACATTCAACAATACTATAATTATTAATAATTCCTAGCCAAGTTTAGATCAAAGCATAAATAAAACAGAAAAAGAGAAATTGTTGATAAAATTTCAAATACAATGTAATAAGATGCAATCAAGTACAAACTTACCGAAAATCAGGTGAAAGTTGAAATCCACTGCCAGACTGAAGGGGACTGTCTGGAAAGAGATCCAGCCCCTCATTCACACTGTTACTGGGGCTAGTTGTCGTGTCAGCTTGTAACCCACCGTTTTTTAGCGCCTCGATCTTCTTCCTTACCCTACCACGTCGTTTCTCAAATTTGCTCGTCTCCATGGTTATTGCTCTGTGAGTCATCGACAATACCGTGGCAAAACGTGCACCGTGACAACGACCAATTATTTCGCAAAACATATACGATTTACTTACCTTCTACGCGATTTCCCTGGTTTCGCGTCACGATTGATCATCCACCAGGAACTCTTCCCGGTACCTTCGTTCTGCACCCGCATAAATCTGCTGTGTAACGATAAGTTGTGCCTTATAGAGTTCTGCAAACAGAAAGAGAAATATTTCGATCAGAGAAAATTGTGGATAATTAATACGAATTAATTTATAACATTTTTTTTAATCTTTTTAATGAAATTAATGACTCAAATGAGATGTTAAAAGCAAATCTTATATATTACAATAATCTTATTGTCCTATTTTACATTGAATTGAAATGAAGTATTAAAAAAAAGATTTAAAAAAGTTTATCAAGTTTATATGCAAAATAAATCGGTTCATTATTTTCGCAGATGGAATTTTATATATTTTTATATAAAGTTCACTAAATGTATGGATATTGATTAGATATTGTCATTTCGATTTTCATCAATCGTTATTATTCATAGCAAACAATTATTTCAGATGGAGTTGAATGATTTCAGGAAGATTACATTCTGATATTAGTAATTCTTTTAATAGTGGCTTATAGAAATATGTGATGAACATTAATATTTTTTTAAATGGAATTATATATTTTTTATTGTAACAATATAATTTGATGTCGTTTAGAAAATATTAATTTACTTACGTTCAATCATTGGTTTAAGAAATATTTCAACTTTGTAAAATTCACAATGAAAAATAAAGAGAAGATAATTAATAAAATATCACTTCGCATATTCCTTGTCTTTCATATGTTAAATTTTATAAATTCCAAGTTAAAACTTATCTCATATTAATCATTTTTTAACATGTTTAATGCCTTTTGTAGAAAATATCAAATTATATCAATTGATGCGGTAAAAAAACAAATGATTATCTAAAAAAATTATTAATATCAAAATATATTCTTTTTGAAACTTCATGTGAAATATTTTTTACTACAGATAATAACTGTGATAATTGTGAATTATTATGGAATAACTGTGAAAATTGAGATGGAAATATTTGGTGAATCATCCTGTATAATTAGAATTGTATCGTGTGAATAAAACGATATAAATAAAAAATGAATTCATTAAGTCTTATGCTTAATGACACTTATTACGTTTGTTTCTTATATTTATAATATTTGATACATTATTATGAGTTTTAGAGAAAATGTTTCATCTAATTTTATATGAACTATTATTAATTGGATGAAACATCATAAATGGAAGAATTGGACTTCTATTATATGAATAATCTGGTTATGTGAACATGCTTACCTCCAGCAAGTTCATATAAATGGAATTTGATTGCAATTATTTCAATCGTTCATGTCAAAATACGAATCATTTTTACTATACACTTGATTTCTTTAATAATTCCTTTTTATCATTCAGATAATATATTAACATTGGGTTACATAACAATATTCATTTAATTTCACTTTGCATTGTAAAATAATATAATTATTAACTTTTTTCTGTCAAATTATTAATTATATTTTATAATTATGTAACAAAGCTCGTTGATATCGAATGAATGTTATTGTTAATATTATTGTTTATTTATCATTTTCTTGAAGTATCTCTAGCAATTTCATTTCAATCATTTTGACATAATCTAATTTTTTTAATCACTTTCACATGATGTTGCACATTTTTTATATAACTGCTCTTTATTATATTATATTTTATTTTTGATTGGATTAGAACTGTTTTAGATCAATGATAAATGAATATAATCTTATTTCTATCATATGGTCATTCATTTATGAATGACAAAATATAAACTTTTTTCTGTTTCCATATCATTTTTACTTTTATAGTTAATGATATATACTTTATTTTTCTCTTTTTACTTTGTTTTTTTTTATTGAAGTGTTGTTATTATTATTATCATATCTTCTTATTATTGTTGTAATATTCTTTTAAACTGTTATATTATTGTTTTTTATATTTTTATACGTATATGTAATTTTAAATATTTAAACATATTGTTTAACATACGTTTCGAAAAACATTTTACTGCAATGTTTATAATTGATGTGTATTGACATTATTGCTATTGTTTTTTGTTTCCAAACAATTTATTTCTGTTTTTTTATTGTTAATTATTGTATATTTTTCTTCTTCGATAATAGTCATTACATGTCAATTAAATATATCTCTTTCTTATTGAAAAATGTATTTATATGTGTTTATATTAATTGATATTGTATAACCAATTGTATATGATCTTTGTTGCGGTATCATATCCGTTATATAATCTGTTCCGGTGAGTAATTCGCAATCTCCTGTAATATGGTCTATTGTTTTACTACATTGATTACATTTTTTACGCCTATTTTATTAACTACGATTTCTTTCGTCACACATTACATATGCATTTCCTATTATTTCTATTCTCTTCCATACTATTATTATTATTATTATTATTTATTATAATTCTTCTTAATTTAAAAAAAAAATATTATAATCAAATCCACATTTTTTCCACAATATTCTTTATGACAATATCACACATACATTTAAATTTTATTTATCTCCAATATGACGTTACAACAACCTATAAACATTTAAAAAATTCACAGTTTCAGATATAATATATAATCTAAAAGATACACGAATCGAAGAACTTATCAAATTTATGTCAAAATATTTTATCTGCAAAATTTATAATTTCAATGTTTGCAAAAAAAAGTTACAAACATTTAACGATATCCTTTTACCGTTTTATATTTTCGAGGCAACGCGACGACTGCTCGACAAGCTGAACGTTTGCATTCTCAGAGTAGTTTTACGCTATGCACAAAATCGAGTGGAACAATGCGTCATGAGAGATCCCCGTGTTTTATGATCCCTAGACAGAGACGTTCGAAACGGAGTTTGTTCATTAGGCAAATTGAATCGATACAGTCTGAGACCTGGACCCTTCCTCCTCCTTCTAAAAATTTCGAAAAGGTTCTACTCTAATAATAAAAGTAGCGTCGAGAAGCGATAACAATTTCCTTTCGTCTTCGCCCTATAGCAGTATCTATCTGAACCGTGGTATAGTACAGTATGCGCACACAGGCCAGGAGAGACGTGGCTTTTACGTAACGAGGAGGGGTGGCGCGATACCGCGGCACAATAAAAATTACTTTTACCAAATTGATGCTTCGTCGTACTCGCTTGAAACTCGCGACACACTCGCGGATTGTTCGCCTGCAACTTTTCGAAATTACAAGGATACGCTCCTATTCCTATCGTACGCTCGAAATGCAGATTTTATTCCGCGCAATCGGTACGATACCCTCGCGGAATTTCAGACATTAAGCGCGAACGAATCTTATTTGACTGGTCGTAAGTGTTTGAAAGGTTTTCAGATTACTTTTCGTAGAGGACAAATTTAAAATTGAACGCCGATCTTTTTTGCATTTTTTTTTTTAAATGTATAATTATTCTGGACAGTGATGGAAAAATTATTAAAGATGGAAATAATTTTTTATATTAATCAGAAATTATATCGTTCAAATATAGCAATTTCTTAAGATACAAAATACAACTTGTAAAAATTCTTATTGGACAGATGGATTTAAAAATTGGTCAATTTCTGCTATTGCTTTTTCATTTTGTATAGGTAATTGATGTTTTATTTGCGTCATAGAAATGAATATTCGTAGATTAAAATGAAAGATATACAAAAAAAGAGATACAATATTAAATGATGGTATTACATACCATATATTATACATACTTCTTATTATAGAAAAAGTTAATAAAGTAGAGTATAAATTAAATGTATTTAGATACAAAATTTTTTCAAAAAATCAACACTAATACGTTTCTACGAAACATTAATGAAAGAATAATATATCGATATTCACAATTTTAATAATTGTAATAGTTGAATATCGATATTTATTACGCATTATTTAAATACAAAAATATGTATTAACTATCATTAGAAACGAACTAATCCACAATTAAAATCATACCAACGTACAATAATCTCGATAAAAAACAGTATCGTGCAATCATTCGTGTCTTGATAATCTGTGCGCACGTTTCAGTGGGTCCAGTTGCAAATAAATCTGCAAAATAGGTATAGCTCATTACACTATAACGTTTCCTTTCTTTACTGCGGATTTTGTTCTTAAAGCTTGACCTATCGACGTGCAACCAAGGAATATGCATAGAGAGAGAGAGAGAGAGAGAGAGAGAGAGAAAGTTAAAATATTTATCGGCAAAAGGCGATTGCTTGTCACGATGAGGATACTCTTATCGATCGATCCACAATTCTTTTTACCTTTTCTTTCGGTGATAGACTCTCGTAGCAGGGTTCACGATAGCGATCCAGCTATTCGAGTCGTTCGATCGCGGGCTATACACCGAGAGTTTACAGCCCTATCATTTCCCTCCCTTTATCGGCGTTACACTTCGAAGATGAAGACATTTTTGGCGCCGCTATTCTGATTTTTAAATCGATCTCGGTCGTTCGCATTCCCGAGAGGGGCGAAAAGAATCAATCGGCCGACGAATTTATTTTTCGCGGCTTTACAACAAACGGCCGTTCTCTTTTATCGCGAAACATTTTATGTTCTTTTTCTTTTTTTGTTTTCTGTTTTTTTTTTTTTTTTGATATTGTTTTTCCTTTTGATTAAATTTAATTCGGAAATTTTAATTCATTCATTCATATATGTAGAATGTTAATATGCATGGGATACTTTTGGAAAATCGATTTTAAACAAAAACGTAAAAAAATATCGAGCAAGCAAGGTTTATTTATTAATTAAATTATAAGCAATTGAAGAAGTTTAGCCTCAGACGAAGCGAGATAGAGAGAGATAGTTCTATCTTCATCATCGTGCTTTGTTTTTCGCTTCATTTAACTCGAACTTAAACTTAATTTAATAAATAAACCTTAACCCACATTTTTATATTATATTTTTTGTGTTTATTTTTATCTTCAGACCTTTCAAAGATGTTTTACGAATATTTTAATAAAAATTATTGTAGATTCTTCTACTGTTAATCTCTTAAAAATTTACAAATAAGATTTTTGTCGAACGAATCGATTTGTTTTAGAAATTGTAAATTTCATTCAATAGTTTCGTTCGAGTTTCTATTAATAAATAGAGATTAATATTAGAAGA